CGCGAGGGAAGAAGGGGCACAAAGCATTTATTCGATGCACAGGGGCTGGCGGCCGGGGCGGCGCGGTCCCGGGGCCTACTTGCGTCCGGCGCCCGAGCGGGCCTGGCCCAGGTGGCCCTGCGGCGACATGGTGTAGTGCTGGACGCTGGCGCGGGCGGCGCCGGACACATGGGTGCCGCGCTGCGCGTGGCCGGAGTACTGGCCCTGGGGGCTCTGCTGGTACTGGACGTTGGTGAAGTGCGTGACGCGCTGGCCGCTGGCATTGGTGGAGTAGCCGCGCGTCGAGTGGTGGCCATGGACGGTCTGCCCGTGGGTGTGGGACCCGTGCGAGACGCTCCGGGCGCCGGACGAGGGGCCGGACGCCCGCAGGACATCCGGGCCCGGGCGACCGGTGCTGTGGTTGCGAGACATGCCGGCGGTGGGGCCGGTGCTTGGGCGGCCGGCGGCAGGGGGTCAGTTCATCGGCCAAAGGGGCAGCGGGGGGCGGGAGGGGGGGGGGCAGGGCGCGTCCGGGGCGCGGCCCTGCGCGGAGGGTACCTTCGAGGCAAGAGAGGGCGGGAGCTGGACGGGGGGGGGGGGGCTCGCTTTTGCGGTTGGCCCCGGCGACCGGCCTCGCGGCTCCCGGCCGCGCCCTTTTATGTCTGGCGGCTCGGCCCGCCGCCCAAGTGCCAGGGAGCCCGGGGCCCCGGGCCGGTGCTCGCCATGGCCCGGCGGCGGCGGCGTCGGGCCCCCGGGCATGGTCTCATGGGGGGGCCCATGCGCCAAGACCGGCCAGGTCGGCCGGCGGGCGTGCCGGGCTATGGCGAGCACCGGCCGGCTCGGCGGCGCCGATGCCCAGGCCCGCCCGGAGATGGGACACGCCCCCCGCCCGTGTCGCCCGGCCGGCGGCGGGGCGGGGCGTGCGCGCGGCCGGCAGCCCGGTCTCGCGTCACCGTCGCCCCTGCGCGGGCACCCCGCCGGCTGCCCCGGGTCCCGCGAGCCGGCCGACAGACCGGCGGTTCGTGGCAGCCGCGCCCGGCCAGCGGCCGCCGCCGATTCGCCGGCCCTCTTGCGCATGGCCGGGTCGTCGGTTGCCGCGGATACCGGCCCGCCGGGCGCCCGGCCGCGCGGCGCCG